AGAAAGAAAGAAAGAAAGAAAGAAAGAAAGAAACCAGGCTTTAAAGATGACACTCCAGTTGAGGCTAAGAACACACTCTCACTTGACGTATCAAAAATGGGATGGGAGCCCATCTAGCGTGTGAGGCGCAGGGTGTATGAAAAGAGGCTGATCTCCATGGTAATTCCTTCACAAATCAGCTAGATGGATTGCATAGCAATATAATTTAGTCATTCTTAAAATAGACCACAGCCCCTTGTTTAACACTTGTATTAAGAAGATAACTAATTTCCCTCGCTTTACTTGCCGAAGAGAGGTTAAAGGAGCAGTGCGTTTCCAGAGTTGTGAAACTCAGCTATTGCCGTGCGGAGGCAGAATCATTTAACGTGTCACGGATGGTCTCCGAGAGGCTGGGTGATGGGAACTGGTTGCATTTTTAAAACAGTCAGCTAAATCGAAGCATGGACTACCTTGTGAAATCAGGGTTCTCCTCCGCACCTCATGGTGTGAAGGAGGGAAGGTTGCAAGCCGAAACTGACCCAGTGCTGAAGGACAGAGAAGGAGCCGTCAGGATCAGAAGCTCTGGAGAAGATTCCGGACCTTTTTGGACCACTTCAGTTATGGGCTCACAGCCCCCTATGCCTTGTGTCACAATGGAATGCCATCCTTTCCTCTATACCAACTACTAACCACGTGCTATTGGTTTTTGGTTGGGTTTTTCTATACTCCAAACCCCAGAATGCTCCATTCTGAGAGTTCTGCCTGTCAGACCCACACCTAAATTTTACTCACCCGGGTACATGGCCTAAGATAGGCCGAGCTCTGGCACAGCTTCCTGAAAGAAAAGGAAGTCGCCTCGCAGTTTGCAGGGAAGAGACAGGAAGTTAGGCCATGAAGCGGCCAAGCCCAACCTTTCTCCAGGTGAGCCTAATTTAGGTACCTGTAGGTGTGGGTGAGCCTTGCTTGCATGGAAGCACATGGACATAGCCTGGCACATGGTTCTCAGGGGGGGAAAAAGAAACATCTTAACAACGTCTTTGACCCAGTGGTTGGTACGGTGTGAAAAACAGGGTCAGGACGAGAGGGGGAGGGAGAGAGAGAGATAGAAAAAAGGAAGCAGGGAAGCAAGTTGCCATTTTCACCTCAGCAGCCGTAGAGGTACGCAAGCATTGACTCCACCCCATTAATTCACGCCATAAATCAGCCAAAAAAGATACACCTCGTGGCAAATTACAAATAGTATTATGACCTGCAGTTTCCCCTCTTGTCTCTCTTTCTCGCAGGCACAGAGCATGAGGCTAGGAGTTCCACAGGAAAAGAGTTTAAGCAGGTCCCCAGACCCGCAAGGGTCATCGTCCCTAACTGTCCTGACAACACCGCACCGGGTATCCAACTACTTTTGCAGAAGGAAAAACCAACCTTAAACGGTGGCACGAGGTACATAAGCGGGCAACTACTTCATCTTGAAAGGCCTCACAAGACAAAGCAGCCCATTAAAAAAAGCACTCTCCAATCTCCCACACAGCGCCCCGGCCAGACTGGATGCATCCAAAGACTTTCTTTCATTCCAGTACAGTAAGCACAAAAGTCTTTCAACGTACATCAAAGCCGAGTTATTTCCTCATTAAAAATGTGGCATTGCAAACCCGAGCTATCCTCCTTCCAGACCCGAGCGAGAAAAAGCAGTCACAAAAGATAGAGTTTGAGCCTGTGGTGTTATTTAACACACTGTTACAAGTCTTTTAGATAACAAACAACAGCAGGCTCTAGCCATCGTTTCTTTCAATATATATATATACAGATGCTTTTTAATCCCCTGTGTGGGTGAGGAATTACCAAGTGCTTTGAATGCACTCATAAATTACACTCTTTGGTGTGTGTTCTGCTACCTACAAGTGCTATTCTTTTTTTTTAAGAGCAAAATAATATAAAATAAAATCCTCTGAAGCTAAGATTCCAGTGAAAAGAGGCTGTGGATCGGCAAAATTTTAAAGCAAAGGAATGGAAGCGATTCTTCTTTTCTTCCAGGCCCACATTATTGTGAAATATATATTTCCAAAAATGGTCCGTAGACTGTGGTTGGTACACAGAGCCAAAGGAACGGAAAATGCAAATTAAAACATAATAAAAGAGGTGTTCCAGTTTCCAGTAGTATGTTCTCACGTGGCTCTGTAAATCATGGGTGGAAGAAATCACGCTGAGTGCCAAACGCGATGTCAGGAAAGTTCTCGGCTTCCCAGTGGCTGGTGGAGAGAAAGTCAAACGTTCGGTATCGAAAAAACTAGCCTATTTCGGATTAACCGCCTTTAAGTGATGTTTTCAGCTGCACCTTTCAAAATTTAGAACTCGGGTGGGGGGAACATACAACACCACCCAAAAACATAGTGTTGCGTGGAAGTGGACGTGATGTTCTGCTTTCCCAGGAAGGTAACATCTGCCTGTAGGGCTTCTGGTCACCCACCTATGTTGTTAAGGAAGTGGGGCTGTCTATAGAGATTTCTTAACTTCCGTTTACGACTAAAAGTTACGCCTTCTGCGTAACCCTTCAAGAGGATTTGGGCCAATGTGTTTTTCCCTCCGCACTGTCACGAGCGAGAACATGCTGCTTTAAAAACCTCTGCGGCGTGTAATGGAAAGGCGTCACTTCAAGAACGCACACGCACAAAACCTTCCGAGCGCTTAATTTAACCCAGTTAATTGCCCATCTTCGACTGGTTGCTCACAAATCCTCAAATAGCTTCCTGGGAAACGAAGCGGATTGGATTTCACTCCCACTTGCTCCCAAGTGGATTCATCTCTGAAGACGACGCGCATCTCGAGGGTGTCCTGTGCTTGTCCTCCGTTGTCACCCACCCGCCTTGTCTCCGTTGAGGTCCTCTGGTGTCAACTGCTCGCTAAAAGAAACCGGGAAGCCGCAGAGGCTTCTTCTGAACATTAAACGCTTTCCAATTTCTTTAACTTAATGACAGCACCTATTAGCCACGGCTGAAGGACCACATTAAGAGCCTGTCCCTCCAACTGTAGAAAGTTAATTGGCGCACTGGTTGTTTTTCAGTTCGTTATCCACTGGAGCAACACAATTCCATTAAGGAGTGCGGCAAGAGGCATCTTAGGACCAGCTTCCACCCCCTACTGCTGCTTCCTTGCTTCAGATATCTTTCCAGACGCGTCAGAGGAGATCTTCATAATAATCTTAGAATTGCAAAGCTGGAAAGGACCCTATAGATGGTTGAGTCCAGCCCCTGTCAAGGGGGCCCCGTGGGGAATCGAACTCCTAACCTCTTGGTTTGCAGAGTCCGAAACTATTGAGCTATACAGACAGCCTAAATTGTGTGCCGTCAAGTAAATTCTGATTCATGAGACCCTTTCCAGGGTTTTCCAGGTAGAGAATACTGTGCTTTTACCCTTCCCTTCCTCTAGGGGTGCTGTGGGACTGTGCAGCTTGCCCAAGGATACCCAGGCTGGCTCTTCTCCCAGAAGGGGAATCGAACTCCCAACCTCTGGCTCTACAGCCAGAGACCTAAACCACTGAACTATCCATCAGTTCATTCCACGGCATCACCTGGTATCCTTGTTGTTGTGTAACAGACCACGCCATCTCGACTCTATGAGGCCAGTTTCTTGAACTTCAGCAGGGAGGCTCACGATCCATGTGTTGACCTAGATTGAAATTAAAAAGAGGCCTCCTGGAAAGGGATTAGAATAATTAAGGATGCATCACTTTTGAGGCCTCTCTGAGCATCTCTGGCTACTTCTGGGTGAAAGACATAGAAGGCATTTTTGAACAATTCTGGATTTACACATTTTAAAAAAAAATCACTGGGTGAAAGCCATGGACAAGGGCAAATTTAGAACTGCCTTTGTGTGATAATAAATAATATTATACCAGAACATTTCAGCAAAGTTTGGTGCCATAGGCTTTATTCACACATTAGGCCCCAAACACCAGTGTTTTAAATACTTTATCCATGATGCATTTTTAAAAAAGGAAACAATATATATATACATATATATACCGGATTATCCCCCTGACTGCCCAAATTTTATCTACTAAAGAATTTTAGCAGAAAAGGGCATTTTGCACAAAGTGAACACCCCCATCACACCATCCCCGCTGGCCTTCGGAACGATCAGTTATAGATATAAAGCAGTACAGTGGACCCTTGACTTACATCCGCTGGCCTTCGGAACGATCGGTTATAGATATAAAGCAGTACTTTGACAGAGACGCAATGCTAACCGGGTAGTCAACAAACAAACCAAATCCTGAAAAAAGCAAAAGGTTTGAACCAGACGAGAGAGCAGCTTTGCGTTTAGAAGCCAACGGCATGTTATTCTTCTGTCGACACAGAAGTCAGACTTGCAAAGGAAGCCTGGGCACTAAAAAAAACCAAAAAACCCAGCTAAGTTGCCTGAAGTGAGACAAAATCATAGTGAGACAAGCACACCCCGTTTAATGCTTAAGAGAGCATCACTTCTAAACAGAGACCCCATTTAATGCTTAAGAGAGCATCACTTCTAAACACGAAGTTGCTGTCCAACTTGATCTACAGAAAGAAGGAAAAGCAAAAAAAAAACCGTATTGTCGGGACCGTAAAGAAATGATACATCAACTAGCAGGCCTTTTTTTCTCGTTCATCAATAAACTAGATTCTATTGGACAGGAGTCATGGTTTGGGATGTTAGCAAAGGCCTGATCATGCAAAGGTTTTGAAAGGGTGTGCTCGTTCATTCCCTCCTTTACTGCTTCACTTTCCATCGCAATCCCCCCATAGCTGTCACAGCCCTTCTGCCCTGAAAAGTCACAACCCACCAGATTATTCTGGATCTATCCCTGACTTAGGAGAGCTGCGATCTTTGCTCTCCCCCCAAGTCTCTTCCAATTGTGCAATCAATTTTATTGAAACCAGAAGCTGGCGGTCCTGACGGAGAACTTCCACACGGTCTGGCGTCGACCTAAGAAGTGTCGCCAGAGTTTCGTAGTCAACTGGAAAAGAGATTGGGCATTTGTCTTGCTGTGTGTCGACCTAAGAAGTGTCGCCAGAGTTTTGTCGTCAACTGGAAAAGAGTTTGGGCATTTGTCTTGCTGTGAAAGTGCTAAACAGAGGGGGAGGAAATGATAAATAAAACCAGGCACTGGCCAATGAATGATGTTGCTGCCCCCCTGCAGTTGGTCCGCGATGACCTGGCAGCGGCAGATGGAGAAAGAACACATTTTTTTGCATCTCGATTTCCAGGTTTGGACATGCTCCGATAATGTCATCCAGAGTTGGAACCATCCAACCCAGCGAGAGGATCAGTGCATTTCAGTGATCTTTCACGCAGTTTGCCTCCGACCTGCATCCTCTTCACATGGTGTAAGCTATCCAGTAGATGATATTGACGGCCGCAAAGGCTGCTGGGAAAACGGCCCTTGCATAGATGTCAATAGTATCGGCATCAATGGGCTTGAAGAGAGACTTCAGGCTGGTTTTCTTCTCCGCTTTCGCTTCCTGCGGCTTCTTGGTCTCTCCCGTTTCGACTTCCACGGAGCCGAGCGAGCCGGGCAGGTTTTTGGGGACCCTCGACTGCCTGTTGGAAACAGCAAGTTCCTGGTTGACGCCGGCGATGGAGAGGGAAAACATAACAATGGCGTTCTTCACATTGACCTGGAAAGAATAAGACCAATTAGGAAAACGAACGTTTGGCCTTCTCTGACCTGGGTCTCTCTCTGTTTCTGCCTGACAGCAGTGGTTCCAACCTGGGGTCCTGAGATAAAGGCTATCCCCCACATATCTGTGGGGGATCATTTCCAAGACCCCTGCCTGTGGATGCTGAAAAAGGTGGATAGTAGCAAACACTATTTTAACAGCAAACATTATATATAAAACATCATCTCTAGCTCTCTCTCTAGTGTCCAGTTCTGATAACTTCAACTTTAGAAATATTGTATTTTTCTGTGTATAAGACTATACTTTCGTCTAAAATCTTTAGACTAAAAATTGAGGGTCGTCTTATACACGGAGGTAAGCTGAGGAGAGAACCAAAACAAGTTGAGGGGAAAGCAGGGATCAAAGCGATCCTGCAGCACTTTGATCCCTTTCCCCCCTACATTTGCTAAGCCCCACTTAGATTTCTTAATTTGGGGTTAGAAAAGTGGGGGGGTGTCTTATACATGGGGGCATCTTATACATGGAAAAATACGGTACATACAGTACGGTATATTTCTAGGATTTTTGTTTAAATATTTTTAATATCTTCAGGTTGTGGATCAGCGAATCAGCGGATAAGGGGGTTCTGCTGTAATAGAGAACTGGAACTAAGAACCTCTAGCTCTCTCTAGTGGCCAGTTCTGATAACTTCACCTTTAGAAATATTGTATTTTTCTGTGTATAAGACTATACTTTCGTCTAAAATCTTTAGACTAAAAATTGAGGGTCGTCTTATACACAGAAGTAAGCTGAGGAGAGAACCAAAACAAGTTGAGGGGAAAGCAGGGATCAAAGCGATCCTGCAGCACTTTGATCCCTTTCCCCCCTACATTTGCTAAGCCCCACTTAGATTTCTTAATTTGGGGTTAGAAAAGTGGGGGGAGTGTCTTATACATGGGGGCATCTTATACATGGAAAAATACGGTACATACAGTACGGTATATTTCTAGGATTTTTGTTTAAATATTTTTAATATCTTCAGTCTGTGGATCAGCGAATCAGTGGATAAAGGGGTTCTGCTGTAATACAGAACTGGAACTAAGAACCCTTATAACGTCACACTGGATCTAGAATATATGGGGCATCGGGGCCACACAAAAACTTATCGGAGTGACATTCCTTCCACCCCAAACCAGATGGTTTGGCACTATGGAGATGGCTCAGGAGAGGCATCTTTATCTTCCTCCGATTGCAGCTATGGCATTTTTTTGTGGGGGGTCTCCTCTCTGTGAGTCGATCACCTCAAGCTAACAAATGCAGGGATCCGAGTTTGACGTGCCAACCAAAGCCTTTGACTGACCTCTCCCACCGGCTTGGTGGCCTTCAGCTTGTCTTTCTGCTTCTTCATATAGTCAGCGTTGAAATGGGCAAACGCATATTCCACCAGCGCGGCGAAGACGAAGACGTAGCAGATCCAGAAATAGACATCCAAGGCTTTGATGGCCGAGGCTCTTGGGAGCGAGGAACGAGCGCTGACCATCAGGGTCGTCATGGTGAGGACGGTGGTTATACCTGGACGAGGTGGTGGTGGGGAAAGGTGTCAATGCTGTTTCATTTGAGTTAGTCCAACAAAAGACACCCAACTGTTTAGATCCTTCTGCTGTAGATGAAGATGGCCAGATAGCTCGTGGAGCTGGAGCAGCTCCTGGTGGCAGAACCAAAGTCTAGGAGTTCGATTCCCAGTGTCCCCCCCTCCCCCAGGAGACAAACCAGCCTGTGTGCGCAAGACGCATGTCCCTAAAAGAAGGGACTCAGAAACCACTTCTGAGTACTTGATGCCTAGAAAACCCCGAGATGGGTCACCATAATTCAGGATCATTTTGATAGCCCCCAGTTACTAACTGTTATCACAGTGGCAGATAAGCAGCTGTTTACACCAGGCTTCCCCAACATGGTGTATTCCAGATGTGTTGAATTAACCTACCATCATCCCAGAACCATTTAAAAAAACGTGTTCATTGGGAAGTCAGCCCTTGTGTAAATCCCATGGATTTAGTAGATCTACTCTAGTAGGGACAGAATTTAGATTCTGCCCTCCCTCAAAGGTAGTTTTCCTATATACATTGGCTCTCCCTTGACATGTTTCTCTGAGAGTGATGTGTCTGAGCAAATGAAGTCCCTGTTTACTTCCTCCTGACCAATCACAAAGCAAGCTAACATGCAAGGTACAGGAGATGAGAAATGCAGTAATGAACGGGCATCTTTCAGGACTTCAGCAGGTCCCATTTCTGAGCAATGTGGTAACTGCACCTTTTAGTTTGACCCAAGGAATCCCAGAGATAGGAAAGTTACTTTTTTTGGGTTACTGCTCTCAAAATCCTATAGCCAGTGTGGACATTGGTCAAGCCAGCTCTGGGAAATCTGGAACGTGCGATCCACAAAGCGACACTTCCAGGCTCTGCAAACATCAGAATGGGTTGAGCATCTTTCAGAAATATGAAATAAAATCCTCTTTTACCTAACGAGACCCGAGCAGGCACAGCTGACTGGCTGATCCAGAAGGACACCCAAGACATGGCGACCAGAAGGATGGAAGGCACGTAGGACTGGATGATATAAACCCCTCGATTCCGCCTCAAGTGGAAGTGAAGACTGAGGCGGGGAAATTGACCAGCTGAATAAAAAAAAAAGAATTTTCAAAAAGAGAAATTATTAATTATTACACTAATATCCAACTTTTCTTCCAGGAAGGTCAAGGTGACTAATGGGGTTCCCCTCAAATGTGCAGCCTCTTGGAGAAATGAGTTTGGAATGAGAGGAAGTCAACCTGGTGGCTGAAATTTGGCAGTAACTCCCAACTAAATGGGGCCCATTGAATCAATGGGGAGCCAGCTCCTCTCTCCGTTCCACTGATTTAATGGACCTGCTCTAGTTGTAATTCATTCCTGGATTTCAGCCAGTGAATCGGGGTGGCTTCCAACCTAGGTTTCTCCTATCTGATCAATATTTTTTGGGTTGATGGATTGACTCAATAAAGGAAACCACAACTCTTAGTCCTTAAGGACATATCACACACTCTCTCATGGTCAAATTCAGTGTTATGCATATTCCCAATGAAGAATTTGTTTTCCATTTCACCAGAACTACATGCATCAGCAATAAACATAGCAAATAAGCCTATCTTCAGTCCACGTTTATTCTCCGACAGTGCATCCCAAACCAAAGCATGCCACGGGCAAGCCGCATTCAGAAAAATGACATGCAATGACAAGCAAAGCCTTTTATCACTCTGATCGAGCACCTCTTCTGAAAACGTGCTAAGCGTATTAGCTAGTTTGACCCCCGTTAAGTGGGGTAACTTGCCAAACAGTGGAAGACTAGAAGGAAGCAGAGAGGAAACTCCCAGTGTTTCGCTAACCCTAGATTACTTGCCAGCCATGAATTTTAAAAAGAGTGGCGTGCCGATTCTGCTTCCTTAAAATGCATGCCATTCAGCACCGTCTCTTGCAAGATTTCTAAGGGACCGAACTGACCGCTTTGTTTACCAGATTTGAAGTTCATCACTTCCGTCGTGAACCGATAATTGGTGATGGTGAATTGAGCAAGTTGCAGCTTATCCAGCCCGTGGATTTGATCTTGGTTTTCGGACCAGCAATAGACAATATCCTCTGAGGAGTAGCCATCTGTCAAAAGAAACTGAATAAATACAGGGATATGGGGGAGAGATAAGAAGCTCAGGATGAAATACTCAGAAACGGAGGCCCATCCTTTCTCTCATTCGTCTCTAGGCTAATATTCCCTGGCCCAGTTTAGACATAATATTGGAATATTTGCAGCCTTCCACGTGGACTGGCAGGGCCCTTTCTAGGCTGGAGTGACTGTCAATCTATCCAGCAGCAGCCAATAGTTCCTTCCTGCCTCTGAATTCAAGGAAAGCTCCACTTCTCTGCTTTAGAGCCTTTTCCCCCCTCTCAGTAATCTGTTGCAATCAGTCGGTCTGTTGAAAGCAATTACTCTGTGGAGGCCTGTCGCTCAAAGCAGTCATGTTTGTTCTCAGTTTTCTGTTTTATCTGCTCACCGTAAGTAAATGAAACCTTTTCTTGCTTCTTCTTCCTAATGTCTCAGAGTGAGTTTTTGAGACTATAAGTGCCAGTTGATGAGGGGGAAAAAAGGGTGAACTAATTTTGGGGAATCTGAATTTATTCTGCTCTGTGGATCTCTGCATTTCTGCTGCACAGCTAGAGAAATACAAAAAAACTAAACTCTGCAACACATAACAAGTCACAATCTGGTAGATCGTGGTTCTGACCCTATTATGTACTGTATATAAAAAATTTCCATACTCTGCCAAAACGGCTATCCTGGAGGAATGTCATGCAGCTCTCTGACTTTTTCCATCAACAAATAAAATCTCTCTTGCTTTGAAACGCCGCCCCTTTCTTAAAGGAAGCTCCCTGTCTCCCTACGTTGACTGCTCTGAAATCCAAACTCCTGAAAATAAAAGTTTTTTTTAAAAAACCAAAAAACACGAGATTGCTTAACCAAAAAAAAAAAATTGCAAACTTTAGGACAGCGGCAGTGAAAGAAAAGGCATTGTGGTTAACCGCCCAGGAACGAGGCGGTTGGAGAGGAAAGAACAACCGATTGCCAACGTGCAAAAGTTGGCCTGCAGAATGATTTCATCTGGCTGTAGGGCAAACCCGTTTGGCATCACAACATTCCCAGGGAACCATCACAGGTGGCAGGCCTTTGGTGGAATCCAGCGGGGCTTTTATGGATTATGAAGGCAGGTCCCTTCCTCGCCTCCCTGCCCCCTTCCCATCTCCCGTTTCATAGGCGTCTCAGCTTTCAACTCACAGCTTTCCAGATCCAGCATGCACTCCTGCTCATCCATAGGGTACTTGGTAAGATCCATGTCGCAGGCCACGGTGGAGGTAACCCTGCCCAAGGGGAAAAAGGAGAGGAAGCGGACGTGAACCTGTAGGCTCGCAGGAGCGTTTGGAGGGCAAGTCCCGGAACTGAAATGTAACTTCCAGATTAAGTGAGGTGCCTTTCCTACTCCGGAGAAGAAAGGTACAGTAAGAAATGCACAACAGGACCCCCCGTATCCATGGGGGAATCGCTTCCAAGCCACCTCCCAGATGCTGAAAAACGCAGATGATAGATTATAGAGATGGGGACTTGAGCTGGAGGGAAGTGGCACCCGTGAATTGACTTGGATTCGACCCAGGTTGTTTTCTTCCCATGACTCAGGCTCTGCTTGCAACTTGGGACCCTCCCTTTTTTTTCTGGGGAAAAGGCTTTTTTTTAATGAGGATTCAGGCTTCGGGCTTGGGACCAAAGATTTGGATTCAGACTTGGGACTTGGCACCAAAGACTCAGATTTGAGACTTGGTACCAAAGACTCGGGACTTGGGACCAAAGACTCTGACTTGGGACTTGAGACCAAAGACTTGGACTTGGGACCAAAGACTCGGACTTGGGACTTGGCAGCAGAGACTCAGACTTGGGACTTGGGACCAAAGACTCAGACTTGGGACTTGGGACCAAAGACTTGGACTTGGGACCAAAGACTCAGACTTGGGACTTGGGACCAAAGATTCTCTGGGGAAAAAGTTTTTTTTTTTAATGAGGACTCAGGCTTCCAGCTTGGGACCAAAGACTTGGATTCAGACTTGGGACTTGGGACCAAAGACTCAGACTTGGGACTTGGCACCAAAGACTCGGACTTGGGACTTGGGACCAAAGACTCAGACTTGGGACTTGGGACCAAAGACTCAGACTTGAGACTTGGGACCAAAGACTCAGACTTGGGACTTGGGACCAAAGACTCAGACTTGGGACTTGGGAACAAAGACTTGCCAACCTCCCTGCCAATCCTGTTGTCTACCCACTCAGGGGTCCTCAGCAGGAACGAAAGCGAAGCCCCCAACTTTCATCCTCTTACCGGATGCTGTACAGGATGACTCCATCGGGCTGCAGCCGAATGAGCTTGTTCTCCACTGTCACGTCGTGAAACCAGGCCGACTTAGCATTGACAATGAAAGTGTCCGGCAGCCACAACTTGTCTACGAAGCGACTGTCGAGGCCAAGGGTTTCATTGGTGTGGTTGTACGAAAGCCTGTCGTCTCGCCAGCTCTGGTGCAGGAAGACAGTCATGGTGTATTCCTAAGGAGGAAATTGACCACTGGAGGATTAACAGCCGAGAGGGTGTATTCAATGCTGATGGTATATTCAAAGGGTGGAGCACCTTTTTGAGTTTGGGGGCCAAACTTAGCTTGGAGGTCAGAGGTTGGGTGGGAATATAGGAGAATCATGGCAGCTAATGACGACATGGCTATGCTAGAGATCAGTCACTCCAGTTTTATGGGACGGCAGGGATCCACACCTAGTTTTAGCCTGAACCATATCTGTGTTCGGGGCTGTACTTTATAGGATCTATTTGTGGAACAGGGTTCAGCACATTGAATAGCTCCTGTAAAGTGCGGACTAAAAGCCGAAACAGGTTCTCCACCCTTTAAAACGGAGGTCAGCAGCCTGCACTACCATAAACGTAAGAAGCTCCATAGGCTGTTGTTTTTTTACACTACAATTCCCAGAATGCCCCTACTAGTATCTACTTCCCCAACAGGAAAATAAAATCATTTGCACACTTCTTAGGGAAAACGGTAGACAGCATGAGACGTCAGCTATTTGGCTGTCACGCCAACTTACCATATTGACTTCCGAGATGTGATCAATACTGGCTACCTCGATCGCAAGGGCAACATTTACAGGAGGGCCTAAATTGTAGGGGAGAGGGAAGAAAGGAGGACACCTTTTAAAAAACCGGAGAGAAACATAGGTTTTTGTGCATTTAAAGAAACTTTTAAGGCCCTATGATGCTGACAGAGAAGACCATGTGCTGATCCTTCCAGCCCCCAAACCTCAAAAAAGAAGAAAGGCTGTTCCGGAACTACAAATCCCATAATCCCCATATCCACTGCCGCCCTGGTTGGGGGATAATGGGATGTGGAGTCCAGAACGCCACTTTCCAAAGCTGTGGTGAGCGTCCCTAAACGTGCTGTTTTGAGAAATAGGACGGGTTATTCCGGGATCAAGAATACACTCCCGGATCTGGATCGGGTCTCACAGCTCAGCACCCATTCTCTGTCGGAAAATGGACTCTTTTTTTTCCTAGCCGCTGTTTACCCCTGGAATGGGATGTTTGTGGAAAGCTGTCGCTCGCACCACGAACCTCTGTCTGAACGGCTGGAACACCTTCCGCTCTGGAAGGAAAAAGCCTCCCCTATTCCTGTTGCTGTTGCGCTAAAGCCCCTCTCCCAGGTGACCTCAAGATCTGATTGGCTCAGGAAGGAAGAAGGTGGTCCTTGAGGTAAGCCATTATTAAGGCTTTGTATAATAATAACAACAAAGGCTTAAACCTGGCCGGTAGCAAATAGGTAGCCGGCACAATTCCTTCAACCAAGATGTTAAAACCTTAGGTGGGGAGCCTGTAACACTCCTTCTGTACCAGGCCGAACGTCTAGACTAGACTTAAGGGCAGCCCCACATAAAGGGCCTTGCAGTAGTCCAACTCTGAGTTTGTTCAGAGTTGTTTTCTAATTCGTGTTTTCTAATTCCCTGCAACCCTTCACCCACAAAACAAGGTCTGAGACCACTGTATGGTGAAATTAAGGTAAAGGTTCCCCTTGACAATTTTTGTCCAGTCGTGTCCGACTCTAGGGGGCGGCGCTCATCCCGCTCTTCAAGCCATAGAGCCAGCGTTTGTCCAAAGACAATCTTCCGTGGTCACACGGCCAGTGTGATTTGGACACGGAAAGCTGTTTACCTTCCCACCGAGATGGTACCTATTTATCTACTCGCATTTGCATGCTTTCGAACCGCTAGGTTGGCGGGAGCTGGGACAAGCGACGGGCGCTCACTCCGTTGCGTGGATTCGATCTTACGACTGCTTGGTCTTCTGACCCTGCAGCACAGGCTTCTGCGGTTTAGTCCACAGCGCCACCACGTGAAATTAGCAACACTAAAAACAATACATGTCAGTCTATGGCAGTCTATACAACACATTGCTTTCGTTACTCCCACCTTCCGTACAGGGTTCAAGTCTTACCCCCAATCCCAGGCCTGAAGTTACGGGCGTATCCTTTCATCAAGTCATCCAAATTAGGTAACCACGATATTTCAATGTTTGATCCTATATAATCGCCAATGTCATTCATCGCTCTGTGGGGCAGGGGGGGAAAAAAGACAGAAAACGGCTATTTTGGGGAATAAACATACCCAACGATGAACTAGTTCTTTTTAAAAGGCTTTTATAAGTAACGGTCACTGACAGACATGAGCATCTGGCTGGAGAGTTAGGAATGATTGCTAACAAAGTTTGGTTCTGTTGGAATTAAGGGGAACCCGCTGGATGGCTCAGTGGCTTACGCAGAGTTTGGGGGTTCGATTCCCTCATGGGGCCTCCGTGGCAGGGGCTAGACTGGATGATCTGTAGAGTCCCTTCCTGCTCTGTAATTCTAAAACAATTAAGATGTAAAGACCAAGTAAGTGATCAAAAAGAAAAGCCGATGGATTTTAAGCAACTGGTCAATTTACAGTACAAACTAGATTGAATGGAGAAATCGTATTCATTTCAAAGTAGTGACAAGGGAGAATTTTGTTCCGGTGGCATTTCTAAATGAACTGTCTTAATTCACAATCCACGCATCGGGGAACCCGCTGGATGGCTCAGTGGCTTAGGCAGAGGTTGGGGGTTCGATTCCCTCACGGGGCCTCCATGGCAGGGGCTAGACTGGATGATCTGTAGAGTCCCTTCCTGCTCTGTAATTCTAAAACAATGAAGATGTAAAGACCAAGTGAGTGATCAAAAAGAAAAGCCGATGGATTTTAAGCAACTGGTCAATTTACAGTACAAACTAGATTGAATGGAGAAATCGTATTCATTTCAAAGTAGCGACAGGGGAGAATTTTGTTCCGGTGCCATTTCTAAATGAACTGTCTTAATTCACAATCCACGCATCGATCCACAAACTGGAACACAGTTATGGTTTGAGCTGCCCTCTCCTCTGAGTCCAGTAAAGTGGCTTTTAGCTCAGAAACGTGTACATTAGGAGAAATTGCACAATAAAGGGGGGGACTGAGTAAAGACGCGCCCCGAAGGCATCTACAAATGAAAATAGCACAGTAAACTAAAGCTGGATCCTCAGGCATTTAAAATAAAATATTCACAGACTGTTGCAGAAAATGGATGGAAGAGGCTTATGATTGAACACTGCAAAAACTAAGATGGATTGGTTATGAAATAAGCCATCCACTTATAATACAGTACGGGATACTTTTAGGTAAATTGTGTGCAAGTTCCAACCTCTTGTTCCCCTCGTATAAATGTGTAAACACTCTTACAGCAGCTGGGAAATGGAGCTCTGGAGATGTAGTTTCTGAGTGACATGAACACCGTTAGTTAATGTTAGCGGTGCTGTTACAATCGGAGGTGCTGTCACTGTTGGAGGAGTGTTGGTGAAGACCTGGGATTCCCCATTACCCAACAGCGAAATTTCATTAGCCCTTTACATAAGATGGGAAAGAACATAGGGCGCTGTCACTGAAGATAAAGTGACCTCTGCTCCCCTATTTGGAGTCCTCTTTGCCCCCTGGATTTGGGGAGAGGGTGGCCCTCCACCTCCCAGAATAGAGGATCATTGAGGAGAGAGATGGGCCTCATCTCATAGGCCTTGGTTGCTACATATGGTCCTCAAAACTGAAAGCGGAAGTACCGTATTTTTCCATGTATAAGACAGTCCTCAAAACTGAAAGCGGAAGTACAGTATTTTTCCATGTATAACACTATGCTTTAGACTAAAAATTGAGGGTCGTCTTATACATGGAAGTAAGCTGAGGAGAGAACAAAAGCAAGTGGAGGGGAAAGCAGGGATCAAATTGATCCTGCAGCACTTTTGATCCCTTTCCCCTTACATTTGCTACGCCCCACTTAGATTTCTTAATTTTGGATTAGAAAAGGTGGGGGCGTCTCATACATGGGGGCGTCTTATACATGGAAAAATATGGTATCCCAACCTCTTCCTGTTTCACCCCCATCTTTGTTTAGTTTACTCAACAAAACACCCTGTACATCACTGGCTTGTTGACCTCAGTCCCTGGAGTCCCAATCCAGCCCTCTAGATCAGTGGTCCCCAACCTTGCGTTTAGTTTACTCAACAAAGCACCCTGTACATCACTGGCTTGTTGAACTCAGTCCCTGGAGTCCCGATCCAGCCCTCTAGATCACCCCAGAAGCCACTCCCGGTAGGGTTGGGTGCTTGCTCAAAGTGCTTCTCCCACTCTTAAAAATCGGAAAGAAAAATGGATCCCCCCAAAGCTCAGCAAGGCAAAAAAAGAGCTTTCAATGAAACTACGTCCCTTGTTTCCTACCCATGTGCCACTGGCTATTCCAAAGGTTGGGGACCACTGCTCTAGATCACCCCAGAAGCCACTCCCAGTAGGGTTGGGTGCTTGCTCAAAGTGCTTCTCCCACTCTTAAAAATTGGAAAGAAAAATGGATTCCCCAAAGCTCAGCAAGGCAAAAAAAAAAAAAAAGCTTTCAATGAAACTACGTCCCTTATTTCCTACCCATGTGCCACTGGCTATTCCAGGGAAGGCTGGTGACAGTGCTTCTGCTCCAAGTTTTAAAGGAGCTTTCCAGGGTGCTGAACTCAATCTGGAAGGGGTGGGGAGAAATAGTTCCTGGAAAGTTTGGACCAAAACCTACAACGGATTCATCACAGGGAGCTGCTAGTTTCCCCTGGACTGTGCCTGCTCCTCAAAACCCGCCCACAATTACGCTTTCTTTGAAATCCCATGTAGACCCTAAGGGTCATCACCTTACCTGTTCTGTCTGATAAACTTGGTTACTGCTGTCACCATGATTTAAACTTGCTGCCAGAGGAAGCAGGGGGAAAACAACCAGCCGTGGCAACCCACTCTCCGTTACCGCAAGCCTAGATTTAAAACATGTCCCAAGACGCGTGACTCATCATCACTCTTCAGTCATGCTATTGGGCTGTGATAAAAATCACTATGCAAGGTGATGCCAGCTGCAGCATCAGAGCAGGTGGGGGGGACAGCAAGGGAGGAGAAGGAGAGATGCCTCAGACCCCCACATCCCCTTCTAACTTTATTTTCCCTATAGACAAGTCACGCCGTGCAAAGATAACCCCAGCCTCATTTCTTGAACAGTCTGCATTTATTCTGAGTATCAGGGTAGTCTTGCAGTTAAAAGGGCAGCTTTAAAAGTAAACCAATTATTTAAACTTAAGTAAAATTAGAGGGGGGATAGAAAGCCACCTTGAATTGGATCAGACCATTTATCTGTGCTGGAAACTTCAGTGGTTTAAGTCTCTGGCTGTGGAGCCAGAGGTTGGGAGTTCGATTCCCCAACTGGGCCTCCCTGACGGGCTGGACTAGATGACCCACAGGGTCCCTTCCAGCTCTAAAATTCTAAGATGATGATGACGAAGTGGTCCCCAAATACTGGCTTGACAGCTCCTTCACAGAATCCTTGACTGTCCAGCCTCACCAGGTGGGGCTTATGGGGGGCTGAAACCCAACGAGGGGCTCCTAAGATTGAGACGAGAACCACGGTTCTAGACTGCTCTGGTTTTTCCGGTGCCTCAAGTAGAGCACCTCTGTCGTGGCATGCCCGCAGATCTTTTCTTAACTGGAGAGACCCATGACCTGAAACCTTCTGGAGAAGATTTGGGATGGAGAGCAGAAGCTCCCTTTCCTACCGAGATGTCAAAACATGGAAAGGAGGCAAAAAAAAAAAATCCTGCATAGTCATGTCTTCAAGCTCACTGTCTCTTTCTAACGCAGTGCTGCTGAGATTAGCTGAAGGAAGAGGGACTCCAGAGGAGAGTTTTGAAAAACGTTATTTATGGAAAGCAATTCAAGAAAGGAGGTGGTCTGGAAGTAATCTTAGAACTGCAGAGCTGGAAGGGACCCTCTGGATCATGGAATCCAGTGGCTCTCAAGGAGACACCGCGGGGAATCGAACCTCCAACCGCTGGCTCCGCAGCCAGAGACCCAAACCACTGAGCTACCCAGCAGGTCTAGCACAGTGAACAAGTACATATTCAACTCCCTGCTTCAGCAGGAAGTTGGCTCTAACTTTGAGCCAGACTTTGGATCAGTTCTTTTCTGGGGATTGTAACTCCCAGAATTCTTCAGTCAACATGCCAGCTAGGGGGATTCTGGGTAATGTGGACTTTCAAAAGGGACTTATCCAAGGAAGACCAGTTTTGAAAAGGAAGCAGGAGAGATCGCCAAAGTAGACTGTCAAAGGTTTGCTCTCAACTGCATGCCCTGTTTATTTTCACGCCCGGGCGGCAGATTAAGCTGTGGTGCTGCTCACTCTCCCCCCCTCCCCCCGTTTCACATTAAATTCGGCCCGTACGATTCTCCAGTTTTACACACATCTAACCTCTTCGTACATGGCGCCTTTCATCTCCAAGCAATGAGCAAAATTGCTGAACCAACTAAAGCGGGTTTAGCTTCCTTCGCGGGTAGATTATAAAATGTAAATCCAGTGTATTTTCATGTCCCTAAGCTTTGCCATCCACCTGTTCCGTGATTTAAAAAAGAAAAAGCAGGCATTGTTGAAACACAGAATCCTCACTTCGTCTTCTAGGCTGCAGGAGATTAAAGATCTCAAGGCTTGACTTGCCTGCTTAAAACTTCAGATCCTCTCCCTCAACTTGGCGCCCTAACATTTGGACTACAATTCCCATCATTTCCAGCCACCTGGACCAAGGACAGCCTTCAACCAGAGCAGGTGAGGAGGAAACTGTGGCCTCCAGATATTTTAGATGACTACTCCCATAATCCTCTATTGCTGGCCAAGCTGGACAGGGCTCATGGGAATTGGAGTGCAAGAATCTGGAACGTAGCTCACAAAATTAAAAAAAGAACATTGTACGACAACTCTCAAAGTTATAACCGCTGACCGTGCTATTACAGGGATTCGGGCAGTCGTAGTCTCAAAAAGTAACTTTTCCAAAAGGTAACTTTTCCAAGTGTTGGTCTGGAGGGCCTCAGGTTTCCCATCTGTAATCTAGGCCAACAAGGTGCCAGAAGATTCACACAGATCTCCATTTATTCAGTAATCTAAACTGACATAGTTGTGTTTGCTTTTGTTATTAGAGATTAACACCTCCTGTTATAAAGTG